GGCACACTGGGTGCTATTCCAAAAGCACTGGAATTACATTTAAGACAGTTAAAAATTGACAAAATTACCATCAGTCAAATGCAAAAAGCCGCACTGCTTGGATCCGCACGCATATTACGAAAATACATTACAACGTCCTAGGCCCCTGGGTGGGGCCCGACTAGTAATCAGTGCCAAATCCAGCAAAACAACTGGTCACTGTGATAATAACAACAACAACAACAACAACAACAACAACAACAACAACAAATAATCTTCCTCCATCTTCCCTGAGACTTTACGCCACCCGGGTTAAGTTGGATGCTGGGGCTCAGGACCACGGAGAGCACCCCAGAATTCAGGGGAGCTGCTAAAGATTTTTAAAGGAGATTCAGGTTAATGTCAGGGTTCCAAGTATGAACCCCAACAAAAAAAGACTCCGAGGCTTGAGGTTCGTCAAAGTTCCATTTTATTAAAGTTGTCAGACTGGCACATCTGGAAAACCCTGAATCTGAAAGCTTCCAGGTTTTCACCACCCCAAAGAAACTTCAACCCCCTGCTCAGCACCCACATGTCCATCACATGGCCCAATCAGGTACCATCCAAACCAGGAGTTACCTCCTAGTCACCTCATCACAGCTACAGGACCAGATGACCTTGGCTTTCTGAGAAAGAATGTTATTATGGCTATATATCACCCACACTCTGTATAATTTTCCCCCTCCCATTTTCCCACAGTAGAAAATGTGGCAGGCCTAAAGTCCCAAAGGTAAAAGATGGCTTCCAAGTCTGACAGTTGTATGCTGCTTAATTCAAGATAAAGAAACTACAATAAAATCAGTAAGAGATAAAGATATTAAGGGGTTAGGATACCACCATTTGAGCATCACATTATGGAGGCAGAATATATGTTGGCTCTTGGGACAGGGCAAATGAAATTTTGTGCCACCTCATGGAGAGACGGAAACCTGTTCAGGAGGCAAAGTACAGAAAATAATTGTTCAATTGTTTTATTTAATCCCCAAGGAGAAAAGGGGATATTTAATCACGACGGTCATAAATGGAGGCACCCCACACGATCAAACCCAATTCTGCAAACTTTTTATACAGCAGTCGTAAAATGAACCCCACAGTCATAAAGCGAACACTGAGTAAATGTATTGCTATGGGCGGGAATTTTTGGTCTGGAAACTGGCCACAGAGACCAGCAATCAACAAAAAAGTTGTAAATTGAGGAACACTGAAACCAGCCCCTGTTGTGACCATGAGACCTCTGGAACCTGTTTTCAAGTAGCTTTTGAGGGCTCCGCTGTAATCTCGAGCAGTCATTAAGCAAGCAGTCGTTATGCAAGGACTACCTGGAAAAGGAGAGATAATCCAGCTGTGGTCTTTATAAAAGCAAACAGGAGTTCTCGAGGTTATTTTTAAATAGAAAAGGGTTTTTTTTCCCAGAAGATACAGAAGTGTGTCAGAGCCAGACAACTTGTCTTCCTAATCCCAAGGCCATGCTCATTAATTCATGGGAAAAGATTAAAAGGACAACCCTATTGAACAAGACTCAATATTAATTACTATACCTCAAGTCTTTATGATGCAAGGCATGAAAGTTTCATATTCCATTTAATCTTTATGGGGAAATGAGATTATACTGCAGCAATAAATAAATGGCTCAGTTTTAGTGGACTACAAATCTTAGCTTGTATTTCTCTTCTATTTAACCTAAGCTAAAACCACCTGATTTCCAGAGAAAATGTGTTTTTAGTAATATATTTAGTTGCAATCCACTGCACCAAGTGCCCACAAGTGCAAAATTGACACCAATTTAGAAGCTTACATTTCCCCTAAGTTACCTTCCCACATACCACAATAAATAGATCTGTTCACTAAGAAGCTCTTATTTTTATCTGTGTATTTGATCCACAGCTGAAAATAAAAATGAACAAAGTGATAGAATATAAGGCAATAGAATAAAATAATAAATTTAACATAGTAGAAGTACAAAGGTTAGTGATTATCTTCTATGTAGGGCCTAAGTAGCTAGTCCATCCAAGCCTGGGCACATTTCAAACCCAGTACTTTCAGCAATCACAACTAAATAGAAATTTACCAATGTTCTTGGAAATCTCAGGAAACAATCCATTTGCAAAAAGCACATAACCTCAATTTCAAGCCAATATTTAGTAAGGAGAGGAAGCAGTAAAAAGATAACCAAGTCTGGTATAAGGGTCTGGTATAAAGAGGATATAGAGCAGTGTTTCTCAACCTTGACAACTTTAAGCCCTGTGGACAACTCCCAGAATCCCCCAGCCAACACAGCTGGCTGGGGAATTCTGGGAGTTGAAGTCCACAGGACTTAAAGCTGCCAAGGTTGAGAAACACTGATATAGAAGATCACATTCAGACTTGAACTGAGAAATTCAGAATATGAAAGGTTATTAAAACTTTCCGGCCAACATAAACTTACCCCATAAATGATAAAGTATTAAGTCCTGCTAATGAAAATACCCTTCTCTGCATAACGGGAGTTAATGGTGAAAAGATAATTAGATGCAGCAAAGGTCAGCAGCAAAGGTCAGCAGCAAATAGTATATTTTTCTTTCTTTTTTTTCCCTCTTCTAGTACAAGAGAGATTTCACAGATTAATACAAAATTATTTGGGCACAGCCTCCACTTTAAAACAGAAATCCTCTATACCCGTGATGGCGAACCTATAGAATTGTGGAATGTGTTGTTGTCATTCCTTTTTAGAAGCCCAAGGTCATCTTTTGTCTCCGCACCTCTGCACCTGACCGGAACCAGCTGGGTGGAGATGCCAGCGTGGCCGAAGAAGATTGGACCATGTGATGGATTTGTGGGTGTGGGGATAAGATTATGAACTTTCAACTGGGTGGAATCCCAGGAAGCTTTTAGATGGGGATTCCAGAGTTTGTTGCCAAGATATCTGTCTTATTAAATTGGAACTTTAAGGATAGCTCTGCCTTGAGACTCTGAATATCTGCATGATATTTGGAACGCTGACACCTTACGTGGCACAAAAAGGAAAGCGAAATTAAAATCTTCTCTCCAATGGCATGTGTGAAAACTCAGTTTTGTTAGCAAAGGCGGATCGAGACAGAGACCTATTGCAAACATTTAAGATCAAGAGTCACTGACAACACTGAGCAAAAGGATTTCAGTACCTTCTTTCAATATTCCTCAGTTGTACTACTTGAAAATTGTCCTAGGGAGGGTATCGGGCGGCCAAAAGGGCAGAGATGTCAGGGAACTGGCATTTGAGGGGGTTGACACAGTCCCTTACCTTGGAAGAAGGGAGGCTAGGAACTGGGACAGACCAAGACATGGCTTAATTCAGGGTGGTTCCTTGGCTAATGAATTCGGTTAACATAGCAACAAAGAGTGCTGGGAATGCCATCGGTAAACGATATGGTCATGTGACATCATATTATGTGACCGCCTCACTTAACAACGGATGTTCCGGTGCCAATTACTATTGTTAAGTCGAGGATTACCTGCAACAATATGATGACTTTCATTATGTCTCACTTCTCCCATCTGTTAATGCTGTTGCTGTATTTATCACACCTTAAAGAGTTATAACATTAATGACATGAGCTAAATAACTAAGTTATTTTGGCAACTTTCAACAGATGGTACTACAGACACTTCTTTTAAACGTGTGGAA